TTTATAACCCACTGATAAAAAGAACTATCATTCAAACAGTTCATAAAACAGTTGGAACTCATCTTAAGAGTCATAATCCAATTGTTTTAGTTCTACAAAATAATCAAAAACCCATAAAAAAGGTGAATAGCATCAAAAACCCACCTCAAATCCGACGAAAAAAAAGTAAAAATCCATTTACTAAATTGTCAACAGAAGTAAAAACAAATGTATATAATACTCAAATGAAAAGTAAAAAACAGAGGAATATCATTCATGAGAAGAATGCAGATAGGAACATTTAAACACTGTCTATTTTCCTAATCTTTGTCTCTTGTCTGCTAACAAAAATATCTACTTTCAACATCTTCTCATATACCCTACCGATTCTTGCACTTCTCTAAAAAAAATTATTGATTGTCAAAAGACGACAATAAAGCATCTTACCATAAAAAATCCAAATTTGTAGATGGGAAATCAAAAATCAAAAGCTTGAACCTGAGAATCAAAGAAAACATATGTTAGGGCTCAACGTCTCCTTCACCGTATCTTGTTGTTGTGCTTATTCTTTTAAAGCCCTAATTTTTTTTAATTTTTTTTTTAAGATAAAGATGCCCAAGGCATGTTTACTGAGCGAGGATGAAAGAATTGATTAAAGAGGAAGAAAATCAGATGTATGGTTTAAGAAGGTGTGATGTAAAGCCCTAATTCAAAGACACAACCATGGGAAACAAACTATCCAAATTGAAAACCTTAAACCTGTTTTGATTATTGGAACAATATTGCAATTCATCCCATGAAATCTTGAACAATTGATAATATGTAAACAACTCTTTGATTATAATTGCAACTTCAAAACATCTCATCAACGAAATGACAAGGGTTTCAGAATAGAAGCAGTCACAATCGAAGTCGTACGTAATTACAAAAGGGGGTTTCAAACAAAAAAATACGATCTCCACAGTCTGATCACACAACTAACTAAAGAAAATTTGCATGATGTTTTCGCATATAATTCCTAAATCAAACACATACATATTAATATTTGAAAAGCAATTAGCTGACCTGACTATGTTGAGGCAATTCTTTTCCCCACCCCTACCGATCTCCTGCTACTGCTCGATACCTATCTCCCCCTTTGTTTTACAATAGATACCCACGTAGAGACTTTAATCGCTCTCTCTATCTGCTCTTCATTCCAAGATGGTTTAAAACACCTAAAATATATGAAGTCAAGAAGACAGTCTACAAAATCGAATCAAAATTGGAGTTCCTGATTTTTTTGTTGATTTGATAAATTATTATTGATTGCTGATTTCATGCGTCTTTCATATCAAACTGAAATTAATCAAAAGAAGAAATCAAATTTCTCCACAAAATCAGGACAGTAGATTATGGAATTACCTTATTTCAATCTGCTAAAAGGAAGGAACAGATTATATCCTCGATTCCAAGGGCAAGGCTGGAAATTCACATTGATGTTTAGAGCGGGAAAATTCGATGGGAGGGTGATCAGCAATTGTCACTTGGCATAAATGTATTTATTTATTAGATTAGGGGATATGTGATTTACCTATTTTGATTATTTCATGAAGTGTCGGTTGAATAACTCTTGTTTTAAGTGGTTATATTTAAATGTCGTTCATGTCAAATATGTATGCATAATTCAAAATGTTATTTCATACATAAAGTAGTTTTCATATTTTCTATTACCAAGTTCGAATACAATCATCTAATTTTTGCTATTTTTTTCTTATTTCTTCATTAAGTTTATTATTTTGGTTACCACAATCATTAATCATCAAATAAAGCGAAAACACTGTTAAAACTATTAATGAATATTAATTATAATTTAAATGTGTTTTTGGTTTATTCATTTATGATTTAGGAATACTAACTAAGCTTCAATAGTAAGAATGGAACTGTAATTTGTATTCTATTATGATTAAAGGATAATTTTATTTTATATTCAAATAAATTATCATTTTTATTTGTATTTTACTTGGTATTTATTAATAAATAATCCATATGAGTTTTTTTTATTTCTTTTTAATAGTTATTCACCAATGATTAATCCATATTACTTAGTTACTAACTATTACTTATTTGCTATTTTTAATTTTATATTGTATTATTAATGACGTGTTATCTATATGTGTTCAGGTGAATGGTGAGATACATGCACACACATCAGCGCAATGAAAAAGAATCATTTGAGAATATTTTGATCGAACGTTTGTGGGAATTTGTATTTTTTTTCGTTTATGATTGAAAATGTATTAAAACTATAGTCATGTATAAACACAAAGTGTCGATTTAGAAATGATTTAATCATGTATGAATATTGATGTATCAATATAAATGTAAGGATTCATTTGTAGTATAATTATTCATTTATAATTAATACTTTACTTTTATTCAACTATAATTGTAAATATATTAGTCATGTATTATCAGTAATATATTTACATACATATTGTTTAATCATAAAAAAAATAATTAACAAAAAGAATACATGTGATTATGTTCACGTTATTGCATCATTCATACTTACATCAACATTTTTTTTGCCTTATTCTATGATTATCCAAATTTTTTTTATCATAATGGCTAAAATTAAGGAACAAGTGGTTAGAAGTTATAGGAATCATTTAATTTTAAGAAAACTCATATTTAATTAAATGGTAAAATTCATATTATTTCATTATATAATGATTGGTCTACACTTGTTCTCGCGTTCTCAACCTTTTTTTGTTCTCGTTATAACCTATACATACATAAAATACATTCAAAATACACATATACATACAAATGCACATACAGATACACATCCATATATACAAACAGAAAATACACATACAAATACATTCAAAATACAAATACACATCCATATCTACAAACATAAAAGAAAAGGAGAAAAATGGAGCAGAGAGGGGTGAAGTTGCAAAGTTTTTTGGGAAATTCCGATAAGGTCGACGATGGTGAGCAGAGAGAAGAAGGGAAAACACAGAAGATCGGGAAAGAAAGTGAGAACGAAGAGGATTTTATTGTCGACGGCCTTTAGCGGCGACACGTACTCATTGGCGGCGATACCTGGGAGGGAAAACAACGTGGGGGTTTTCTACGTCATTGGATTGTAACATCCCCTCTGACACGTATCACAATATTGTCCGCTTTGGGCTCCCGACACGAAAACATCACATGGGTCACCCATCCCTGAATTGTTCTCGCACGGGCACGCTTAACTGCAGAGTTCTTATGGGATCTGCGGCCCTCACAACTTTAAAACACGTTGTGAAAAGGAAGGTATCCACACCCTTTTAAAAGGAAATGTTTCGTTCTCTTTCCAAGCCTATGTGGGATCAGGTGCAACCCACCTTCACCACCCATTATAGGGTTCGGCGTCCCCGTCTAACACATCGATCCGTGTCCCAGTTCTGATACCATTTGTAACATCCCCCTCTAGCACGTATCACAATATTGTCCGCCTTGGACCACTCGGCACAAGGACTTCCCAGGGGTCACTCATCCCGGTACTACTCCCGCCCGAGCATGCTTAATTGCAGAGTTCTACAGATCACCTATGCAATAAAAAAGGATCTAGTCTCAATCTACAATTCAAATTACCCCAAATGGACTAAAGTCAAACATAGTCAAAGTCAAACATGGTTAAAGTCAACGGTTAATGGTCAAAAGTCAAGGTCCACATTAGACTGAGTACGCCCTGCGTACTCCATCTCTACGCATGGCATAGAGTTTCATCCCTGAATACAAGGTTCAATCAGGTTACGGGATGCGTACCCTTAAGCACGCCTTGCATACCCAGACTTACGCCATGTGTAAGTCGTTAAACCCCGTCTCCAGGTTTTTCATCTACGCAGCGCGTAGAAGGCTATCTACGCCTTGTGTAGATCAAAACTCCACACTTAGACTTGATAGTTAAAAAAAGGGATTAACCTGCAAGGACCATGTGTTACAAGCTCAAAGTAAGATACAATTTTGAGTGCTTGTAATAGTTCTACAAAGTTTAAAAAAACTCCTCTCTCTCTCTCTCTATGTGTGTCTCTCTCTGCAAGTTTCACCGAAGCTTGTTTGGTATTTGTCTGAAGTGCTTTACTTGTTTTGTTGTCACCCAACAATGCCCTCCTATTTTTATTTTTAATCAAACTGAACTACTAAAACCCAACAGAGTATGCAAAAACGACTATTTGTTAAAAGTTTTGAAACCATATGGACCATCTATGAGGTTTTTTGAAATTAGAAACTATATCCTAGATTTCTAGAAACCACGGGGACCATTTATGAGGTTTTGTTTATAATAATAATAATAATAATAATAATAATAATAATAATAATAATATAGTTATAGTAAGCCTAATACTAAAAAATCTAATTATAATAAATATAATAAGAAAATAACAATCAAATAATTGGAATAATAATTATTATATTTATAATATTAATAATATATGATTATATTTAAATTTATAATAATATAACAATTAATATAAAATAGTAGTAATAATAATAATATTTAAAGGAAATGGGGAAAGACAAAAATAAAAGAGTGGGAAACAAAAAGAAAAGGAAAAAGATTTTTAGTTTATGATTCCCGTTCGTTATGTTTCCTACAAAATTCCTACACAATAGTAATTTTAAATATTAATTAACATTCCGTTGGTTTTTTGTTGGAAAATTCCGACCATTATCCTACAAAATCTTTGGGGTGTCTAATTTTAAATATTATTTAATATTTCGTCGGATTTTTGTTGGAAAATACCAATGCTTTTACTACGGAATCTTTGAGGTATCTACTTTTGTCGGTATTTTATAGGAATTTTGTTTGATTCCACTTTTGTTGAAAGTTTGTCGGAAATTGAATGGAAATTACCAACAAAATAAATTTTTCGGAAATATTTTGTAGCTAAAACCAAATTTTCTAGTAGTGGAAGCTCAAGGTTTGTTTTCCTTTTCTTATATCTTTCCCATTGCACCATGATTAACATAATTTTTTATAGCATATGGTGCCTGCAATCTATGTCAGTTGTGCTGAGATGATTAACAAATGGGAAGAAATGTTAAAAAAGGAAAGGTCATGCTGTGAAGTGGATGTGTGGCCTTATCTTCAAACGTTATCCAGTGATGTTATTTCACGTACAACATTTGGTAGTAACATTGAAGAAGGGAAGAGAATATTTGAACTATAACGTGAACTAGCAGTGTTAGTCATAGACGCTATACAATCACTCTACATTCCTGGATCGAGGTGCTTATCTTTCCGAAAAATATTTTATTACATCGTTTTTCTCTTGATCAAGAGACGATCTAATATAATTCAAACACAAATATTAGGTTTTTACCAACAAAAAACAATAATAGGATAAAGAAAATTGACCAAGAAGTGAAGGCTACGATAAGGAGTATCATTGACAAGCGAATAATCGTAATGAAAGCTGGAGAAAGGAGTAAAGATGACTTGTTGGGCATACTCTTGGAATCAAATTACAAAGAAATTAAACATGGGAATATGAATTCTGGATTAACTATTGATGAAGTGATCGATGAGTGTAAGCTTTTCTATTTTGCTGGACAAGAGACCACCGGTATCTTACTTGTTTGGACTATGATTTTGTTGGCTCAGCACACAAATTGGCAAGAGCGTGCCAGATAAGAAGTTTCACAAGTATTTGGGCATGAAAAACCAGAAATGAATGGGTTGAATCGTTTAAAAATTGTGAGCCTTTCAATACCTTTATAAAACCATACATCCTCCTATGAAGCCATATATTCGTTTCTCTCCAATTATGTTTTTCAGGTTAACATGATTCTGCATGAGGTTCTTAGACTATACCCACCAGCAGTAGGACTAGGACGAATGACACATGAGGAAACTAAATTAGGGGACATGACATTACCAACTCGAACTTTCCTCCAGTTGCAGATTATGCTTATGCACCATGATCGTGATATATGGGGTGATGATGTGAGCGAGTTCAAGCCTGAAAGATTTTCTGAAGGTGTCTCGAAGGTGACCAACGGACAAACATCATATCTCCCTTTTGGTGGTGGTCCACGTATATGTGTTGGACTGAATTTTGCCTTGTTAGAAGCCAAAATGGCACTTGTCATGATTCTGCAACACTTTTGCTTTGATCTCTCTCCATCCTATTCGCATGCTCCACATACCATTGTCACTCTTCAACCTCATTTTGGGGCTCATTTGATTTTGCGTAAACTTTAAATGATGTGTATTTGAGCACATGTTTCTATTAGTGTGCTTGGTTTATGTTGCACTGCAACTCTAATTACTCGGTCAAATAGACATTAAGTCAAGTAAAATCGACATTAAGGTGCTGTTTGTTTTTTCTGAGGCAAAATGTCTGCAGTCTGCGGACCACATTTATAGACCTCTGCAGCAGAAGAGGTGGACCAAACGTCTGCAGTCTGAAAAAAGAAGACTGTTTGTTTTTTTAACATCTGCGAGCTACTAAAATAAGCTAAAATCTAAATAAACTTATTGTTCTAACTACAAAGTGATTTATTAATATTTTTATGACTTTATTATAAATAATTAACAAATCTAGATCAACTTTTATGTATTATTGTATAAAAAGTGAAAATAAAAATGATACAAATTAACGTATATATTTGATAAAAACCAACAATTTTGGTCGAAAAGTTATACCTAAACATTATAATATGAATCAAAGAATTTGATACATAAATGGATGGAAATAAACTTTGATTTTTTCAATTAAATCAATTAAAATCGTACCATAAATATTTTTCTAAGAAATTGACGATACTGTATTAAATAATGTTTTATAAAATTTGGCACAAAAAATATAAGAATATATTATGATTTTTTTTTTCATATTTATATAAACAACTTCAATGACCATTATTGTAAAAAAAAAATTATTTATAAATTTGTGAAAAATATCATATTTGTGTCGTCGAACTTTTTTTTTAAGTATTGTAATTTTTTTTTTCAATTTGTTTATCATTAATAAAGTTGGAATAAATATAAATTTCAAAAAAACTAAAAAAACCAAGATATATGTGTTTTTTTAAGCTAGAAGATGTCTGAAGATGTTAGAAGACTCTGGTCCACATCTGCGCCAAGAAGAGGGCGCGCATACATTTTTAGGTCTGCAGTCTTCAAAAAAACAAAACAGTCTGCGAAGACTAATGTCTGCGCGTGGTCTGCACCGCGCAAACAGAAGAGGCTAAGAAGATCTGCAGGCAAAAAACAAACACCACCTAAGTCAAATTTTTGGTTTACATCATAAATATGGTTTCTACGCAACCCTTGATATTTATGTTTAGGTTCAAAAAATTTTAAATATTGCAAATTAGCATAATTAAGTTTTCATAAAAATCCGATTTTCACAATGACTTTTTTTTTTCAAATTGGACACTTATTTTACTAATTTGTTGTAATTCTGACCATCTAACCGGTCAACCTTGGTTGCTAGTTGCATGACATGTTGACGTAGCACTTTGGATACTTCCCACGCCAAAAGGGCTGACGGTTTCTTCCACCTCAACCAAAACCACTACCACATTAAATACTATAAGGGGAGAGAGAGAGAATGAGAGAGAGAGAGTCTTAGAATATTGGCCTTACTTTACACACATCTTATATTTCCATTTTGAATCAACATTAAAATTAACCAACATTATGGGATCTAAAACACAACACAAAGAAGTGACCATCGATATGGTACACACTCCATGTGGTACAAAGTTATCTGGATGAAGCTCATATGCCGCTTGTGCAAGTTGAAGATAGCCAGCCATGTTTGATTTTTTTTTTTCTTCTACTAAACTTGTGAACCATCTTGACAAATATAATGATTGGATCTCTTCCTCGAGATTCGAACAGCATTTCGAACAGCATCTGTATATAAAATTATTGTGGACATACTCATACATATACAACTTTAGGTAAAAGCAGTCAAAAAGGGTGGAAATGATTTGAAATATTATTTTCTGATCTAAACAAGGGATTCAGATACATTATTTGATGTAGTACAACACCTCCAGTTCTACTTGCAACATTCGGCCCTTCCCATTTTAGTCTTTCCACAGCAACCCTTCCTACAAAGGCTCCCACCTGGTGTTGAACCGCATGGTTGTCGTTTTTGTTTTGGTGATCCACCACTTCCACTTCCACTACCACACCCACCGGGTCCATCTGCTTGTTGTATAGGGTCATAATCGCAATTTGTAGCTGCATACATCAGTTTCAAATATTTTTAATCGTTAGGGAAGGAAAGGTTGTATGCACTCTATGTATTATAATTAATGTAGTTTGATCAGAAAATCTGGAAATCGTTGATGAATGGATTACAAATTAGCGATAGACTATTGATAGTAAATACACGAATGAAATAATTATAGTAAACAAAATCAGAAGACTATAACCCTACAACTCCATAAGTACGGTAAAATGAAACTGTTTTCCTAAAAAAAAAAAAAAATTGTTTAACTACACGTATTTACAATGCAAACTTAGTTAATTTATAAGAAATACTGGAGCAGCTTCTATTAGCGTTTTTTTTATTATTAACTGTGAGATGTTTAGAGAAAACCGAACCTAGTTGGCGGACATGGTTGTATGGAGTCCGAGCAGTGGCGGTGGTTGTAATGATGTGAGATGATGAACTAATGACGATGAGGATGATAAGAGCCAGGGTAAGTCTTCCTCCTTTTAAGATTGAGGCCATTTTTTTTTCAATGATTGAATGAATATGAATGTGTGAGTAACCATTTATGAAGGATCTATTTATACACGATCATCCCCAATGGTTTGTTCAAACATTAACCAATTATTTTGGTCAACAATATAGTCCGCAATAAAGGAAATTGGTAAGAAAAGAGTGTGGCGCGCAGTTGTTAGCTATAGCCGCCTAAGAAATCCTACCTTCTTGCTCATTTCCTGAACTTTGTCTGTGCAGTTTTGTCTTGACTTCCAATAAAATTTTGATCTAATATATTGGCGTGGTCATCTACTCATCTTCGCGCATGTGTCAGATATGGGTATTGCTAACAATTTATTATTATTATTATTATTATTATTATTATTATTTTTCGTTAAAGAGATTTGTTTATGTAATGTTGATAAACAATTTGAAAATGTGGAAAACTATGCCCAAAAGTGATAAGACTATATTGTGACTCCCATTCGATTTATATTTATTAATTTTCTTGTTATTCATTTAATTTTAACATTATTTTTGCACTTTATTTTGGTAAAATTGCAAAAATGGTCATTGTGTCTATTATTTTGTTTGAATTTAGTTCAAACATTAGTACCTTTAAGAGGTTAATTTTTAAATTTTTTTGGATGTTTTTGAACCACAAATATAATCTACTTCTAACCTATCACCTAAATCCACTTATATTCACGAGTGGTGTTGAACCCTCGACCTCGAACAAATAAGACAACACCTGATATCGCATGATTAAACTTAAAATGACTATTTACACTTTAAATATATATTAATTTTGGTTTTGAATTTTAATAATTTTAAATTAATACACATCTAAAGTAACTCAATCCCAGCCCATGCATCATCCTCTTTTCTATTACCGACCCCTCCCTCTTCTTTCTCTCTATCTCTTCCTTTATACCCCCTCACCTTGTCTTCTCTGACCACCATCACCCGTCTTTGTTGACATTCAGCTACAAAGATTTCACAACAAAAAACGTACCCTTTAGCGACGATAAAAATCGTCGCAATTGGTGCCACGTGTCGTCTATTACCTTTAGCGACGACATGTCGGCGCTATTACCTCGTAACTAATACTCATTTGTCGTCGCAAATAGAGTCATCTATAATGCTCGTCGTCGCTAAATGGCCACTGTCGTCGCTATTGAAATCGTCTCTATTACCTTTCCGACCACCGGTCGGAGTTTTTCCGGCTACTCTTCCCAGAATCAGTTGTCGTCGCAATTTGTCAATGTCGTCCCTAAAGGTGTCACTGCTAATGATTTTTTTTAAATAATTTATATATGATAATAGTTTGTATATATTATAAAATGCAGCGACAAATAAAAATAGATACCACTTTACATAAAACATCAAATATACCACATTAAATAAAATATCTAATAAATCCCAAATAAACATCTAATATATAATCCATAAACTATCTAATAAATCCAAAATAACATCATCCATAACATAAAACAAGAAATACTATGTGTCTGCATCTTCTTCATCGTTGTTTTCCTCGTTATTGACTTGGTTTTAAACGAACGAATAATGTCTCCAATGGTCGTCACAAACGCCGGGTTTTGAAGAAAAATATTCACATCAACATCCTACAATTAAGTAACAAGCACATTAAGCCATTAACAATTTAACAAACTATCAAACCATCAAACCATCAAATGAATTAAGTCGGTAACAATTTAAAAAACTATTAAACCACCAAATCAATTAAGTCTTTAACAATTTAACAAACTACCAAACTACAAAAAATTATTATAAATACATCAAGTTCTTAACAATATAGCAAAGCTATCAAATTCTTTAAGAAATTTAACAAGTACCTGTGTTGGTTGCAGTGCTTGTGACTGTGATTGTCGTTGGGATGAAGCACTTGTACCCGCTGCTGAAGAAGGTTTAGGCCCAATGCCTCTCACACCCCCCCCTACGAGTACCCAACACCTTCTCAAATATTGCGATCCAATCAATGGTGTCTGGATCACCACCGGAGTCGGCTATGTGATGAGTCTGTAGAACAACCTCAGCAACTAAGGCATTCTGTATTTCACAAAGATTGTCAATATATGTTAAACTAACACAACAAAAACAATCTACTTCATTTTTAAGTAATAATAACTTACATATTGGTCTTCAACCAAAGGATCAACAAATTCCCCTTTTTTATTCGCATGCGCACGATGAAATACTTCAAGTCTTTTCAAATTCTGTTTAACATTACAAAATATGTTACACTTAAATAAACATTAAACAATATGTTATAAATGAATAAGCATTATTGTAACTTACGTTCTTAAAACAAGAACTACCGTAGCTGCACGTCCCTCCACGATTCTTAACTACTTGCTTCTTCCGACATTCTTTGTTTCTAGCAGATCGTTTTTGATGCTTTTATGTTAAGAAGAGGTCAATAGTGGCATTCCAACGCTGCAGATCCATACCCGCAGGGGCTTGAGCCATTGCTGCCTCTACACCCCCTTCAAAACCAGTCAAACGAGTTTTTGCAACATTTTTGCGGCCTGTATATCGCACACATATCCGACTGTTCAGTGACACCCAATAAAATGAAGCCATGGGATCATTTGTAATCGCTCCAAAATCAAACCATGTCTACAAAAAAATAGAGAAATTAAAAATAAATGAAAATTAAACATATTAAATATATAACTTTATAAATAATTACCGAAAGATACTAAAACATGCCAACCCTTCCGGCTTCAGAAACATCTGTCCATGTGTTCTTATCGAGACCGATGTCGTGCCACATATAGCTCCCAACCTCCCGAATGAAACATTCGTATACTTCCCCAATCGGCACGTGAGTATTTATGTAAAATATTATCTTCAGAGGCCGTTTGCCGTTAGCTGCAAATAACTTGTACATTTTTTTGTTTACTGCCATGCCTCTTCGTTTTGGAGGCACCGCTGCATAAAAAAATATTAGTCAAAATAATTTTTTATATACATACAATATGAAATACAATAAAATTATAATAAATCTTAATTACCATTGGTAAGGTGATCACTAAAACCTCCACCGAACGGATGTGGTGGCTCGTCACCAACATCACCTCCATGGCCCATCACAACAGCCATGAGATGGAGCAATGCAATCCAAAAAAATGACATCCAGAAAAATTATAACACAATATGAATATATATATATATATATATATATATATATATATATATATATATATATATATATATATATATAATATGATATGATTATAACAAATTCAAACCTTATTTTACTAGTCAAATGTAAAGATTTTTTAATCATTCTCACCCTCAGACACTTCAGTGTCTATTGACACATCACTATCATAATCGGAATGCTCCTCATCATAATCTGTCACGCAATCAGACAAATTATTGATGATACCCGTTGGTGGACCAACTTCAATATCATCTTCAACCGATTAAGAATTTTGAAAGTACTGGCTAAAGTCGATTGAAAGAGTGAAATTAGAAGAAGCATTACTAAGAACGACATCGGTTGAATCATTGTCGACACTTTCAATGGGATCATGGTCGACATCGTTCATCGGTAGATCCCAAATTCTTCTATGATTAACATTTTCAATAACCCACTATTGGTTGTCATTTTCGTCACTTTGAAAAGGTTCTTGGATGTAAAATATTTGTTTGGCCTGCGTAGCAAATATGAGTTGATCTTCGCTGCTCAATTCGCGTTGTGGGTCGATACTGGTGAAATTATTATCAGATTTAACTTCTGCAGTTTCGAACCACTTGCAACAAAAAAGTACAGTGGAATATTTATGAGTATAGTGCAACTCGATAATCTCTTCTAGCTGACCAAAATATTTCTGCTTATCAGTCCATTTTTTGATCACCTTGATATGCATCAGCTTTGCTAAAAAGTCAAGGGACGAAAGCGAACATCCAAGATATAATTTTAAATGGACTTCCTCTAACAACTTTTGAAATCCATCATCGACACCGCTACCCTCTATATCCAGGTTCCCTTCGTCGCGATTGGTATCATTTTCAATCACACCCCCATAACATCAGCAATAACATCGGCCATCTCGTTACTACGCGGCATGTCTTCGACAACCGGATGAACTGTATTTTCACCGTGATACTTCCATATAATATAATGTGGACTAAAACCATATTGAAGTATATGGAATTTCATTACGGCTAGTAGTATAAATTTATTGACATTACATTTATTACACGGGCATCTGATTTGACCTTTGTTATCGACGTGTGGTTTGGACCTTTCGAGAAAAGATTCGAGTCCTTTTTAGAACAAGGGAGAGTTACGGTTCTCAATAGTAGTCCAGGTTTTATCAATAGACATGTTGCAATTGAAACATAAGTTAGGTTTTAGTGTTTACTCTATAAGAACTAAAATTTGGATTGAATATTTATAAGGATAGAGTAACCGGTCAATCGGATAGAATAGAAAACCGGACAACGGAAGAGTATTCATATGCAAATGTGTATTACATGATTGACCGTTTAAGAAAAATTCGGCAGTATTTCCCCTTAGCTCCTAAGTATATATAAATTATATACCCGAGGAGCAAAGAAAAAATAACAACTGAATCTTTTTTAAACAATCAATCATGTAATACACATTCACATCCTAAATGAGGTAAGGTATTTAAAAAGCAGTCCAAAAATGAGGACAGCTCGAAATTAATTTCTAAATCAATTTTTGGCGGGTATTTCTAGGCTTTTGATGATTTAAAAAGAAGAGACTTAAACTAAAAAAACTTACTTTTTTTATTATAGCATTGTACTTTAAATAATCCAGATACTAAATTATAACTTAGTAGATTTAACGTATTAATTTTCATTTTTATTTTTTATCATAACAATATACTTTAAACGGTAGTATATATTTGTTATTTATATCATTTTTTTTCCATATTTTGATTTTTAATATCAACTTATTTTTGTTTTTATTTTTCTATTATGACTAATTTATATATTTGTTATTTATATCATTTTTTTTTCATATTTTGATTTTTAAAATCAACTTATTTTTGCTTTTATTTTTCTATTATGACTAAATTATAACTTAGTAGGTTTAT